CGCTAACAGACAAAATCAAAGTGAGACATCCAGTACAATAAAAGTTCTACACAGAGCTGCTGTACCTCTTATTCGGCTGTATCCTTCTGTCACCTCTCTTCCACGTTATCCGAGGTTTGGGTGACGCCCTCGGTTTGCATTCTAGTGACACGTCTTTTCCGAGTGTTGCTATGACCCGTATTGGATTGGGGACAAAGATAGGCGCTGATGCTGTGTAAAAAAAACACACAAAGGTAATATCATAGTTAATGCATTTTAAAGGACATTCATTCTTGAATCAACTAAGAAATGTAAATGTACGTTATTCTCACTATTAAACTCTTATTTTGAAGGGACGTACAATTATTGTCTTTGAAACGATCCTTGAATCAAATGATCAAGTCAACAATTAAACCAAACAACACAAACTAAAACAATACTGCCTTCTAAAAAACTTACGAGCAAAAAAAAATACCACAGAAACTAATCGTCTGCAACCTGCTCGGTAGAAAACGACAACACAGATGGGATTTCTTGTTATTCTGCGTCTGCTGAATCAGTTAGCATCACAACTTGACCTGCTTATTTGTGTCACTTTTTTTTAAAAAAACGTGATAGTAAAAAACAACTTCATGCTTAATGCAGTTTTAATCGCTGTGTGGTTGCCATGCAATAGGAATGATAATAATTATAAATAATAGTAGTCGTGCCTCCTCAACTGTGGCATTTCAAAGTAATTATTTCAAAAATGCTGGAGGGTTCAGACTGACACATCATGACTCAAAGCACTGCCTGATCAAAATAATTATTACCTTCAATAAAATAACTAGAATTTTCACATGTAGTAATACAGAGCTCGCTTCTATACTTGTATTAGCTTCACTATTATTTAATATATTATAAAATGTGCCACACTTTGTCTTAATTCTGTGCTTGTTTCGTAACCACTAGCGGTGTATAATAAATATGCATTTTAGTTGTACACCGCTAAATAAGTCATCATTCGCACACATCATTAACGTGATGACATGGTTGGATGACTTGTTACCGCTTTTATGAATATTGTTTTTACCCCCATGTTCAAGCAGGGTGCCTGTGCGAATAATAAATACATAAACATTTTCAACAATTACGACTTGCTCAGGACAACAAATTAAGCAGCGATGGTCTAAATAAGGCTTCGGGCGCTGAACTAGATGCGGGTCTGCTGGTACACAGCTGTATTACACATCAAGGCCATCTACAGGCTACAGGGCTTTGTCAAGTGTGATTATTCAAATGCTGAATGATGCTTCATAGGTGACATTATACACAATGACAATTCAATCCCATCCGTGGCTACGGGCTGACCCTCTCCCTGCAACACTTGTGTCTTTGAGCCTGAGTAGTTGCCTGAGTGGCAGAGGTCCCTCTGGACACGGAAAGTAGCGGAAAACAGAGCAGTTGCTGTGTGTATTTGTTTTAATCAAAATAAGAGCGGGCCTGCAGCTGGTGGCAGCACTACCCATATTGCTTCACCCGCCACCCTCCCAGCAGAGCTGGATCTGGGACAAGATCACAGACGTGAGGGCAGCCGCTGCCCCCGTGTAGCCTCCAGTGATCGCTCATCTGCAGGCTGTTATTAGTCATGTAATCTGTCCTGATAGTGTTTGCTTGTGGACATCTCCACAGAGCACAGGTCACCGGGAAGATATGCCCGGGGGCTACGGTTATGAAAACATTCGTCAACAGCACCCAAATATCATCAATGTGACTGTGACTCCAAGGAAGGCGAAAAAGCACCTCCTCGTCGGCTCAGATAAACCTTATTAAAATCTAGAACTTTTGACTCCCGCAGACAAACCTTGAATTTAAATCAACGGAGCGGCGGCTGTTTCGCGCCGATGTTTAACTGATGGTTTACGCGGCCGGACAAAGAACTTTGTCGATTTGCAGGGAGATTTTCGAAATGTCAAAGATTCCCCTTCAAAAAAGGGCAAGGCACACAGACAGTAAATCAAACTGTCCCTCGGGGAAACATGAAAGGGGACTGGGTGTCACCAGATGTGTCCCAGTACAAGATGACAAGGAGAAAATAGTGCATCAACACAGAACGCTGGACAGCTATTCAGTATGACTGTTATGTTTTTAGCCCGAAGCCTCGAGGCTGAGAGTTTCCTCGGCGTCCGGGAGGTGAAAGCGATGTTTACAAAAAGGATACAAACACTCAGGAAGCTGCACAACGTGTGTCGGCAATTACTGATAATTATGAATGATTATTAGACGACTAATAAATACCCGATGAAAGCCATGTCCGAAGTGGAGATTTGTTTTTTTGTTTTTTTCCCCCCAAATAATGGGTATTTTAATGTAGTCTGTGCTTTCATGACGAACGATAGAGCGGAGATAAGACCCTAATGGAGTCATTAAACTCCATCAAAGAAACCATTGATGTCTCTCTCCTAGTGTTTGCTCCCATTAGTATAAATCTATACCTACAAGTCATTGGTTTTCATTCCACTCAGAATAATGTAGAACTGTTCCAGACTCTCCTCAACTTGATGCTTGCAGACACCTCATTGAATATAACCATAAGAGTTGTTCTTTTATTCATGCCGTCCACTGCCTGGGTTAAATCAGGGACCATTGATTGGCAATCAGCACATCTCACAGTTCAGCGTTCCCCACTTGCATTTCAATCTCCCTTACCTATCATCCGGTACCTCATTCAGGATGTCAATACTCAGCCTGCCATTTTATTCTTCGCAGAGAGTCGAGAAAAATGCTGAGAGGAAAAGTTGCCTCGTAAAATTAACACCACGGATTTATTATTTTTTTTTTACCCCTGTCTAATTTAACAAACCTAATGTATACTTACCTAAAATCTTGAGTTCAGCATTCGAGTAGATGGCACCGTATTTGTTTTCGGCGACGCACTGGTACATTCCCGAGTCCGTCTGCTGCACCTTGAGAATGGTCAGCTCCCCGTTCACTATCTCAACCCGACCCTGCGACGAGAAAACATCCCGTCTGAATAAAGTCGTACTTTACATGATAATGCCGCATATGGAGAACGTGCGGTTTCATTGGAATAATTCACTTGTCTTACGGTACAATCAACAAAAAAGAAGGCGGTGTGTAGTGAAAACGGGCACCTGAGGTGTCAAGGGCGAACCATTACGAAGCCAGCGATAGGTGGGCCGGGGCCTCCCAATGGCCTTGCACTCCCACTGGAGCTTCTCTCCACTATCCATCTGAGTATCATTAATCATTCTGACCCACTGAGGGAGGGCTGGAAGATGGGAGGGGGAAAAAAAAAAGAATAAGTAATATATCCTTGAAATGCACACAAGGCACAAGTACTTACACGAGAAAGAACACGTATGCAGAAACACGCTGTAAACACACAATGTAGGAAGCTGTATTTAAGTTTGGAGCTGCAAAGGTGGTTTAATTCAAGAGAAAATTAACAGGGAAAAACATTTGTTACCTCATCATTTTATAACTTTTCAGGCAGAAATGTCAAACATTTGATGTTTTTCTTGTCTTAACATATTAAATTGTATAATAATCCGACACTAAATGTGAAACCTTCTTTTACGTCGGATAGCGAGGCTGTCGGATTGTCAAGATGGAGATACAAGGAGGGCTTGATGCTTGAAGGCTCATTTGTTGTTAATATTTATTGTTTTTAGTTGTTATAATAACTAGTGTATTGTTAGAACACTACACATCGCTGGATTTCACACCTAATTGACCGGTCCGCTTGTGCACGTTCTGGCCAATTCCACCCCATCGGAGCACACCCCCGGGGCGGAAGTGGCCGGAACGCACAGGCAATACTTGGCTGCTGATGGCAGTTTAGGATAGCGGTCACAGTTCTGTTTCCACCGGCGGCGGCGGCGGCGGGGGAATGGCAGATATGCTCCACTGCTCCCATCCGTGGTTACTTCTGCAAACGCTGAGCACGCTCGCTGCGTTTGGGTCGTATGAAGTTCACACAGCAGATCACATACAAGTTGCATTTAATTGGAAATGTGAACGAACTCACAAAAAAATCAGATTTTTCAAAAAAATCCAAATTGAGCATTAAGTCCTGCAGTCTGAACGTAGCCAATCTGTCGGTTTGTTCAGTCAGATAATACGCTGTTATCCTGATTGGTGACATAAAATGTCATGTCGGAGTCGGAATCCAAGGCTGTCGGTATGTTAAGCCTATATTTTAATGGGTTCCTTTCGTTTTTCCTAAAAACCTGTTGGATAGCAAGGCTTTCTGATCGAATTATCGAGTCACGACTGTATTTGGATTTGAGATTGTTGGGGGCACAAAACAAGACATCAGCACCTTTTTGGGCTGCAAGGGACATTGATAACCATTTTCTAAATGCTTATTGATTAATAAAGAAGCATAATCAATACACTAATGGTTATGAAAATGACTGTGGTCATACTTTTAAGATCACTTTCTATTCATAACGCCTTGAAGCTAGTGTCCATAACATGCAAAAAATATGTTCAAGGCCATTCCCCAACAGAAAAAGGTTGCCTACAGTGATGATTACTTTACTTTATTTAAGCCTTTGAGATAAACTTTGCTATTCATTTCTTTCAAATCAGTCTTTTAGATGCTTGTCACTTCACACACAAATGCTCGACTCGTTGGAAATCCTTGACACTCTTGCTTTTCTCGCTCTTGTGTGGCACTCAACGGAGTTAAGAGGTTGATATCAAAGAAAGGAGGGTAAAGGTTTAAATTTATGTAAAGCGCAAACCATCCAGGGCTTGTTTCTGGGCTTTGGACAGTAGTAAACCCAGCATAACAGCATTCCTCCAGTCAAGACCTACAGGCCAGACAAATACTCACTGACAGAAGCCACCCACTGAATGAGTTTGCTTAAATTATGAATAGAACATTTGCATGAGCTGTGTACAGAAAATGAAGCCGAGCTCATTCTGGGGGCCCAGAGTCACACAGATGCCACAAAGATTAAAGCCAGCGTCGCCTTTATAAGCACAGATTGCATTCATGTTTCTGTGTCAATGTATAACTAACATGCCTGGCGCTGCGGGGAGGTCACAATAACTGAAGGAAATGAACGAATAAAAACACTTTATTCAGCTGAGACCCTCATTCCATGCAAAGTGTGAAAGTGCTTCTCTTTCTTTACACATTTTTCTTCTTATTTTGCTTGTATCATGTTTGTAAAAATGTTTTTTCCCTCCACTGCACGACTGGCCGTGGCCTATGCAAACTAGGCAACTGCCCTTCCTGGGGGCCCCTTTAACAGAAAGCCTCTTTTTATTTTTCTCTCTTTTTATTCTTCTTCTTCTCCACAGCCTACTTGCTTGCGTTTCCAAGGCTCCATCCACATTTCCCGTCCAACTGCGGAAAAAAATCTCAGTCACAGCTCAAGATCTGAAACACCGTATAGGCTGTATGTTTTTTTTTTTCTTTTCTTTTCATCTTGTAGTCTCTTTCAATCTCGTGTGTCTTCTCCGCGGTTGTGAATTCTTGCACATTTACAAGATTATGAAATTTACCAGAACCTTTTCACTTGGCCGGGATCGTTCTGTCAGTCTTGTGTGGGGGAGGAAATGTTAATCAGTCAGTCACAAACCCACAGCCTTTTTCCTCTTTTATTGAATCCTTTATATTTGTACTTTTTTGCTCCAATGTGTTTTGGGTTGTTGTTTTTTTTTTAGTCGGAAATGAGACATTTACAGATGCGCATGGTGACATCGATGCATAAAGCAACTACAGCATATACCAGCCTAAAGTAGACTATATTTCTTGGGACAACTTAAATTGTTGGTAATTTTGTGTTATCAGTTTATGACCAATGTAATAAATCAGCATAAATGTATAAGGTTTAGAAGAAATGCTGGCCATGTTTTGTTTGCTCAGACTAAGCCCTTCCATAGATTTCTGACATGTTTTGCTTTGTTTGCTCTCCGTGTTGTATTTCTTGTGTAGTGTGAGCAGACAGGAGGACGCCTCCCCCCCCCCCGCCCCTCCACTATTGAGCTGTTTTCACCCACGATAACATGCCAAGCACGTTCTTTTCTATTCTTTGCATATGGCACCTTCAGTGGAATACTTTTTTTTTCAAGAGGTTTGATTGAATGATTATGGTCAGGAAGGTCTGCCTCACAATGAAAGTTCAAACTACTAGCTGACCTGTGTAAATTACATTTAGTGTGAGGCTGCTACAAATTAGGCTCCCTATTCTCCTTGTGATGTCAACAGAATGGAGGTTGCCAAGAAGTGCGGGGGCCTTGGAAATGTGTCCTACCAAGGTTGAGGCAGTCCATTATCTTGGTTCTGCGCTCATGGCACGGACAGAGAGGAATGGGCGGACATGCGGCCTCACAGATAAGTTTGTTGATTGCAGGCAAAAGCAGTAATTCAGGAATGCCTCCTTGCGCTTCTCATTACTAGAAAGCTGAAAACTGCTTTTAATTAAAGCCCAACCTGGAGCTCGCAGGTGAACCCGCGTACATACTAAACAGAAATGGGTAAGAGACTGCGCGTAAGGAAAATATAAGTGTGATCAATATCGATTAAATTTGCACTCCTAATGCTTCAGTTGATGCTTTTGGCGATACGCATCGATTCAGTAAAATAAATTACCATGTGTACCTGAGTTAGTTTTACACCGAAACTGTGTTAGTAGAGATAAGCTTTGGTCCTAATTATAAGCAACGTCGGATCTTTCTATAATTAATGCGATATTTTTTATTTTATTTAAAACTATGAGCTCTGTTACCTACACTTCATGTGCAGAAACAGGTGTGCTTAGCAAGTTCATAGTGAGCAGTATGAGTCCCAGACCATGCGTCTCTAAAAACCACTCCAGGGAAAAAAAAAATCTAATCGTATTATTAAAGAACAACGGCAACAGCCAGTTGAACAGAGACGTAGCTCAGCACAAAACACACCTGACTCCTGGTTTCAGAGACCCACATCTCTTTCAACTCAAAGAAACAGCTCATTTGTTGCAGTGATGAATACTTCCTCTTGGATTATCCGGGATGGATGTTTAATTAGTCCTCGGACAGTTCTGCAAATTCCCGAGGACCGATAGCGGTCCCTTGCCTTGAATTTCAGAACACTGTAACTAGCAGAGATTATCTGGTGAAAAATGCTCGGAAGCTGCAGGACTAAAATAGCTTACGGAAGAGGCAGAGCAGTTACTGAGACTACTATTCCTGGAGTAAGTACATTAAGACTCGTGCTAATGCAAGCAAGCTCTTAGATAATGTATGATGGCTGCACAAATGTAAAGGATCTAAACAGATCAGCAGAGGATAAGAGTCGGGAGCAGCCAAGTGGTCACACTGCAAGCAAATTACCATAATGTCCACGGCTTGACTTTCCCTCCTGACCCATGCAGATGAAAAGGCCCACAAAAAAACAAATAAAAAGAACGACTCAGACTCACTGTAGACCTGCAGGTGTCCTTTGAAGGCAGTGCCTCCTCTCGGATTCTCAGCTTTGCATTCGTAAGTTCCCGAGTCCTCCAGCTGAATATTGGGAATCTCTAGCACGGCCTGGGACTTCCGAAGTCTCGCTTTCTTGGGGATGTTGCCATTTATCTTCCTCCATGTTATTGTTGGCACTGGACTGTGAGAAGAGCGGAGCAGCATTGTAAACCATACTACGTAGCGCCGGGGCTTAAGCACATACAGCACAGGGTGTGTGAGCCGCAATGATGCAGTTCACTACTGATAATTTAAAGTGTCAACCTTTAAAATAACAGAGTTACACTGCATTAGAAAAGTAGAGCAGCATGTATGCCACACACTAGATATTCTCCGACTTTCTTAATATTGCATGTGTGAAATGTTTCCAACTTTAACGCTTCTTCAATTAATCAATAAAGCAAGTGACCTAAATTTTGCACAGCGAGTGGAAATTGATGTAATGTTCACATTTGTTTGAATACATGAGTAGTCACATGACACAATAATGCAAAACAATGAGGAATGAGCAACTGAAACGCTTTGGTTCTGCTCTACATGTAAATACCTCACCTTTGAAGCACTCATTATATATTTACGGTACCAATTGACCCGCATCTGAAGACGCATCTATTCGACCCCTTTTATTAGACGAACAGGGACAATATTTAAATCAGGTTACTACGAAGGCCAGAGAGCTTTTTTTTTTTTTCATCTGATTAGTATTCGAGCAATGTCGCCCGTCCCTGTTTATTCATGAATTTCCCTATAGATGCTTATGACGGATGACTTGCACACGCAGATACAGAACGTCTTTCTATGTGTTCGGTATCAGTAGTCTCTTGTATGACAACTAGATTTGACAGGTCTGTGAAAGATGGAAATGTGACACCGTACAAACCTCCAGTGAACCCATCAATCATTTAGCCAAGATGGAAATGTTACATCCCTGAGCTTTTTTAAACGCTCTAAATTCACAAGGACAGTGAAGGGCTCTCGGCTGCAATGGGCTCAAATTAGGATTCGCGCCGTGTGTGGTATTAAACACACTGGTTCTCTTTCATTTTGCACTGGAGGTATGTGTAATGCACTTTATTTTATTTTCTTTGCTTCGAAAACTTTTCTTTAATTTGTATTTTCCAATAGCTAATTAATTACTTCACAGCAACATTTCGCTTTCTTCACATTACCGAAACTTTGAAGCGAATAATAGCTCGTAGTT